CCCAGATGGTGGTCATTGAGAGTATCGTATAATTTGCGGAGCAATGTTTTGTGCCTTACTGTGTCATAGGCTGCTGTCAGATCTACAAACGCAGCCCCTGTTATAAGTTTTTCTTCAAAGCCCTCTTCAATGTGTCCTGTTAATGCGAGAACTTGACCGGTGCAAGATTTGCCAGGTCTGAATCCTCCTTGTTGTGGGATGAGGTGCTTGTCGACATTTTTTTCTATTCTGGCGAGTATGAGTCTCTCGTATAGTTTAAAAAAGTGACACAATAGCGAAATAGGTCTGTAGCTACTGGGGTCTTCTGGATCCTTTCCTGGTTTTAACAAGGCTATTACTTTAGATTTCCTCCATGATTTTGGAATTTTGCAGGTTTTGCAGCACGTGTTATAAAATTGCAAGATCCAGTTTTTTGCTCCTTGGCCTAAATGCTTTATTTGTTCACTGCATATATCATCCACACCTGCAGCTTTCCCGTTTTTTAACCTGTTCAGACCATCGTGGAGTTCTTTTAGTGTAAAAGAAGTTCCTAGGTGGTTTGTCTCCGAATCCAATCTTCTCCTAGTGTTTGGGTCCTTATATCGGTTAGTAGTTCTTCCATTCGTAAGGAGTTGAGTAGCGACTTGGTTTGCTGTAACCTTGCAAGGTGATTTATGTTCTTTTGGATCACCGCTGAGTTTTTTTACAAGATTCCATGCTATTTTGCTACTATGTGTCATGTCCATTTTTTCCAGGGTCTCAATCCACTTTTCCTGTCTGGCTTGACTTAGCTGTTGGAGTAGTACTGCTCCGCAGTCAACCGTTTCTTGGCTAAAAGGGTCAGTGGAATAGAGGGTTTCGTATGTTCTCATTAGTTCTTTGGACTCGCTGGACATCCCGGGAACGTATTGTTGTCTGCATCCTTCAGGGATAGTTTTTCTAGACACATTTTTGAGTACCTCTTCGAATTTTTCGTAGTTCTCTACTTTTGGTTCAAGGCGTAGTAGTTCAAAATCTAGCATGTCTGCATACTTTTGCCAGTTTGCCTTTTTGAAGTTAAATCTCCTTCTGAATGGAATAGCTTGTGGTCTGACAATTGGGAAGATATTTATACTAATTGGTCTATGCTGAGTTTTTGGTATGGGGCCATATACTACTTTGGTACATCGGTCTTCGAGGTAGTTGCTTGAAAAATAGATATCCGGGTTATATCCTCTTTTCCAAACTTTGCTATGAAAAGATGGTGGAAGTTTAGGATCATGGATTAACGTGAGGCCACTCCTTTCGGCCCATGCTTCTACTGCGTCTCCATTTGCGTCCGAATTTGCATAGCCCCAGAGTAAACTGTGACTGTTAAAGTCTCCCAGTACAAGCTGATTGGCTTGTGATTGAAAATTAGTTGGGGGTGAAAATATAAAAGGCTGGTTTGGGGGCTTGTATACCGAGGTTAGTGTGCATTTTCCGATCTCAGTGGTTATTATCTCTATACCGTGTACATTTGTTGTTTCCACAGATGAGACTATGGTTTGAGTTCTCACAAATACCGCGCTTTCATGCTTATTGTGTGGTATCTCCGCAATCAGTTTCATACCAGAGACTTTCGGTCTCGCTGCAGTTTGGTCTCTGTGGGTTTCCTGGATGCACAATACCTCACATTTCGTATTCTTGCAGAATTCTGATAAGATGTCTTGTTTGGCTGTGTGATGCCCTCGATATTTATGCTCGCTACTGCCAGTGTTGGCTCTGAGAAGAACCGTTGTGGCTTGATGTTTGCCACCTGATTTGGTTTGGTCCGGTGTTGGAAGGATTAGCCGTCTACTAGTAGACGTTTCCAGGAGACGCCGTCAATAGTGCTTCTTTTGCAGTTGATGTGGCACTATTGATCTCGTGGAGGCTCCTTCCTTGTCCCCCATGTCTGTAGGCGATCTGGCATGTGCCGATTAACTGGTCTCGGAATTCTCTCCCATTCTTCACGAGCAGCATCTTTTGGTTCTCGAAGTGTAATGGAGCGATTGTTTTGTTTCGTGATGCGTGTTTTAAGAATGTCCCAAGTATGTTCAATAATGTTCATGTCAGGGGAATTCGAGGGCCACTGTAATGTAGATATTCTTTCTTCTTCTAGAAAATTTTGTACTGCTGCTGTTCGATAAGGAGGTGCGTTGTCATGCATAAACACAAATTCATCACCTACTGCCCCTCGACGTGCGACAGGATTTAAAACTTCCTCGATGTACACAGCATCAGTGACTCTTCTCTCCAGAACCAGCAGTGGCGTCCTTGCACCACTCATAATACCATCTCTAGCCATAATTTTACCATCTTTAAATGGGATACGCATTTGTGCAGTTTCTAGTCGGGCTTGTCATCAAGCCAATTTTTTACTCATCAGAGAACATCACGTTATTCCAGTTAGGACCATTTCTTTAGCTCATTGCAAGCTTATTATTTTGTGTTGGTAGGTTAGTTTAGGAACACGTAGCGGTATTCTACGATACAAATTTACAGCATTTGGTATGCGTGTTCTTGTTTACCATGAAATATTTAGTCCTTAAAGCTTATAAATTTCTCTGAATATACCACTTGTAGATTCCTGACGATTTATATAAGCTATTAATGTTATTTGCTAGTCTTGTACTGCTGTTGTACATCGACATCTGCCATTTCTGGAACGACCCTTGACGTCATTTGTATCTTGGATTTTTTTTTATTTTCGATACAGTACTCTGAGTAACATCAACAATATTCGCGATTTAACTTAGACTAAAGCCCTGTTGTAACAAAGCAATTACTCTGGATCTGTCAAAATAAGATATCACTTTTATAAGCATTTTTAAACGGCTCAATTCAAATTTAAACAAAGATTAAAATAATGTGTAAATAGGCTAATCAGTTGAATGTGACCAAAATCATACAAAAACGGTTCCAATTTTTTTTATCATTTAAAAACGCTTTAGAATGAGTATCAACAACAGTTTTAAAACCATCATATATAATAAACCATAAACTATCATATAATTCCTACATTTAAAAACCTAGAACAATTTTCCAGTTGATGGTTTTCAACACTTTGTCATTTTGTTTTCAGATTCCCATTTATGTTTTCAATTTACACATGGTAAAACAATCCAATACTATTATTTTGAACCATTATATTTTTAGTGCTCTGAAACGTAAATCTACCAGCGTTTATTCTGCAATTAAGGACTTACGTAACAACATTACTTTAATTTGTCGATTACAAAACAATGTGACTTGGAAATACAAACCTATTACATATTATTATGCATCGAACACAGAAGTCTGTCAAGAATATATTCTAATAATGATATCTTTTACAAATTACTTAAAATGTACATCTCTACAAGGAAGTCACCAGCTAATAATACTATCGACAGTCAGAAAATCACATTGACTGTATTTTAATTAAACACAAATACCATGGAAATAAAAGAATATTCAAATGCTAATGTATTTTCTGATCAAAATACCCTTATGGTTTCATTATAAATTCATTTAAAAAAGATCAAATAAAAAACAGAACTAGCAGCAAACTATCTACAACAAGGCATTAATTAAAATCGATAAAGATGTCAAAGTACTGTCTAAATTAAAAAAAAACAACGTCGCAGATCAGTAGTACGGCAGTGGGTTTTTAAAACAACCATTAAGGAGTTCCGTAAAAAAGGGTTAAATCGTTAAGTAACAAGGAACCAGACTGGAAACAAGTAAAATTTTGGAGATTATAAATTACCTACGGGAGGCAAAAGAAGCAAACTAGAGAAATGTAACACCGAGATAATTGAAAATTTGCAAAAAAATATAACAGTTTTCAATTGTGATTTATGAGTTACTTAAATATGGTAATGAAAAGAGAACAAAATTTACGTAGGTTAAAGAAATCATAGTGTAATTATTTCACGAACAGAAACAGGAAAATCTTGGAGAATAACAGAGGAAATATATTTTTTTGGATAATTATTTTTTTCTGAGAATTTTCCTAGGACACATTTTCCTCCTGTATAATCCACTATAATAGTTCACTACACTACAGACATGTAAAGATCTAAATTACACTCCAAGTAGGTTTCTATGACTTTATGGACAAAAAAGATCTTATTGATCTATAGTATGCCTTCCATAACTATATCTACACTAATTCATTTGCAATATATCTTCCGTATATACAGACAACCTTCTTTATAATTACTGGACAATATTTTATACACCACATGGAGTAGTTGTCTCCACAACTAGTTTATTCACGGTTTTTTATCACTCTTTTTATCCCTGATAGACCAAATGTGGCGTAGCAATTTTTAAAGGACCTAATAAAGCCTTGATTATTTGACTTCAAACATTTGCTACAAGTTAATATTGTCCTGCAGCTTTATTGTTTTAATATTGTGTGATTGCTGCTTGTGTCTCTTTCAATTTGACGATTTAGTAGATTGTTCTGCTGCTACAATGGACCGCCTCCCTCCTTTGACTTCTCTGTTAGTATTTAATAGATCTCTGAAATAATCCATATAACAAACATCTTATAACCCTATCCAAAAATTATTCCTTCTTTGTCTCTACACAAGATAATTCTTAGTGAAGTCATGTACTCCGTCGCATTGGTTTAGACATTTACGCTACACGCTGTCTTAAAAAAACTTTCTTCTTTTTCGTAGGATCCCAATTTAGACCTTCTTTGCTTCCTTGTATCTCTTATTGATTTATCATGTACCTCTCTGCAGCATGGCTCTTTGTTTTTTTTACAGTTATTTTCTATCTTTGTTTTTCTTGAATTTATCATCAAATCATTCATCATTCCTTTTTTTCATTTTTAATGCTAAAAATGGAACTAAAATGGTTTACGGTCAAGTCCAACCTGCTAATATAAATAATTACCTCGTGTTTAATAAATATGGTGTTCAGCCATTGTTGTAGTTTCCACTGAAGCTAGAATAACCTTTATAATTATTTAGTGCTCATAATTTGTTGTTACATTATTATAACTGCATACTTATGTTTTTTAGCTCATCGCCTTCTCAGTTTTCATTGTTGCCTCATTGGCTCAACAACATCAAGAACCTATTCCAATTGTAAGCTATGAAAACGAAGGCGTAAACGCTGACGGGTCTTATCGTTGGAGGTAAGTTACAAAGATTTTTATATGTATATAATTATATTAATTATTGAATTAAAAGCATACAAATATAAACACAATAATCTTCTTTAGTCTTCATAAAGTTTTTAATTAATTTAGTTTAATTTATTTTAATTTTCATTTGTATTATCGTGCTCAAAATAACTTAAAATTAAAAATTAAAAGCAAAATTTACAAAGAAAGAAGTATAAACTCAAAATATAATAGAACAACTTTTTAGTGGTTAAGAAAGGATAGTTGTAGAGTTAAAGAAAAAACATCAATAGTTTTATTCAGATTTGTTTAAAATTTAGTTCAGTAAGATGTGTGTAAGTGTACATAAAAAATATTCTCTACTACACCAGTCGTCAGAGAGGCAAATACCATTGAACCTCTAAACATTATACGAAGAAGCTAAATTTTGTTGAGAATGTTATTTTAAAACTTTTAAAATATGCAAAAAAGTTTACTACTCCTACCCCTGGCTTCCCCCTAAAGGCTCCCATCATAGGGGGGAAACCGAAAAAATGGATTTATCAATCATCTGTATGTCGTAGAAAGCAATATTTCAAATAAAAAATGTAGCTGATATAACTTTGAACAAAAATGTTTATTGGCACTTTTTGCTTAGAATGAACCGTTGTCTTAGAAACACTAGAAGCGACCAGTAATTTTTAATGTCAGCTACGCCTGCGAAATAAATTTTAAATAAAATTTGTATCAACTCGACGGTAAAAATTCGATGACTTTTAATTAGAGTATCATAGACCAAAAATTGACTTCGTTTGCGGCTGAATACAAAATTGCATACGAAAGCTACACTTTTCACCTCAAAAATCATTGTGATTTTTGTCGATAGGACAACTTGGTCACATAATGTCTAATATACTTTAATCTGTCTTAACGACAAATTGTTAAGGCAGATCGTAGAAAGTTTTGCTCACAAACAAGAAAAAGTTCCAAGCGATTGGTTGTATAACTTAGTACTTCATAAAGTTTAGTATAGAATAATTAGTAACGAATGAATAACCTACTGCTTTAAGTGTTGAAACAATAAATGACATTGTTCTTTCGTGCTGAGCACTTCATAACTTTATAAGAAGAATATCAACGAGAACTAATATAACGGACGCATCTTTAGATTTGGAAGACATAAACAATGGCATTGTAGTTGCGGGGGAATCTGACAAACTACAAATTTACTAAATCTGTAGTAAAAAATTTAAGTAATAGGTGAAAAATAGTAAAAGAGATACTTTTTGGTTGGAATATTTATGAGAATACTCATTAGTTATAATATGCCTGAAAGAAGAATTCTTTCGAAAAACTGCATCCAAAAATGTCTATTATTAGCCAATAATACTTTACTTATAGATTCTAGAAATAAGAGGTGCAATTAGTGCGAAAGAAAGATTAACTGTAAGATATTTGGCAACTAGAAATTCATATGATAACATTCGAAAACATAATATTTTATGAAGCGAAACTTTTAAACTGTCGTTGTATTAGTTTTCTCTACAGTAAAATCCCGAGGAAAGCATCACGGAAGTAGCGCTATGACACGGGGTCACGAAAATAGCTCCGCGAAATAGTGGTCTTCATATCGATTTACTACTCTCCGTCAATTCGTTTTTAGTTATAATACATTTATTCTAAAAATATTTAGAATAAAAACTGCATAAAAAATAACAAACGAGGTACATGCAATAAATAAAAAACAAAAAATTTAAGGAATATCCGAATAAGGAATATAACATACTAACCGCAATACTAAGTGTTAGAAAATGCGTTAAAAAAAATGAAAAATAGGAGATCTACTATAACCTTGTTTAAGAATATTTTTTAGTTTGAATGTTCGATTTTTTAATGTATGTTGGTCCACTTTATATTATAATAATAATAATAATATATTGTAAAATATTGGTAGTTAGTGAATGGGTTATCCCACAAAATAATACACTCGATATCGCATCAAAGACTTTATTATTACAGAATATGTATAAAAACATTAAAAGTTAGAATGTCTAATCCTCTTCGTCGCAAAAAGGGCCAATTACTTCATCTCCGGCTGCTTCAGCTGAAGATCTCAGGTTTTTATCAAATTCATGGTGTAGAGGGGGTATCAGTTCTATTAACTCAAGAAGATTTTTTAGCTTCATTATTGGTATTACCATTTGGATATAAAAGTGGCAATACCATTGTATTCCTGGAAACAGATTTCCTTTTATTAAGATCCACTGTTTCAAAATAAACATCTTCATTGTTCAAATACTTATATTGAAGAGTATTGGAAAAGTCTTTCTAAAACCTTAACCATGGAATTTTAAGGAACTCTCCCTTTGTTTTCAATTCAGAAACTTTTCTGTAGGTTATATTATTTTCCAGCAATTTCGTAAAAAACATTTGATTTGTACATGTTTATTTATTGGTGTGAACGGATTTTTTTTCTAGCATGCCTTATTACTGTATGCCAGTTTTGGCATACACTGTTTAATTTACTTTACAACAAAGAACAAAATTTGTTTAATTTACTGTTTGTATTTTGAGAACGATTTCCGAAGTGGAAATTGAAACGTCAATAAACGTATTTTTACCTTTAATTGTGGTTTATTCCCAGTTAAATAGTAATTAATTTAAAATGCCACAAGAAAATAGCTTCAGAACAATATTAGTTCTTCCTTATGTACCGCGTCCTTTCAGAACGTTGAATACCATCATAGGCATGCCAGTAAACAGTTGGAAGAGTCCATTTTCGCTGCGAGACAAGTTCCTTATACAACATGAAAACTATTTCAATTTCATATATTATTTTGTCAAACCAAACTTTTTACTTTTTGACTGAAAATCATTTCATTAAATCCGGTTAGTAATTATAAATATAATTTTTGATATTTTCTGGCACTCATCTAACTAATCGTCTCAACTAATCGTTCATCTAACCGAGTTGGACAACAGATTTTTAAGCATGCGATACTTTCCGTGCGATTTAACCAATGGTACGACTGGCTGAACTACAACACTACACCAGCATAAATATAGATAGAGTGACGCTTTAGAATTATTAATATTTTAAATATCTCAAATTAACTAACCAATTAATTAGTTTAAACTAATTAACTGTGGTCTATGTTGTCATCAAATATGGAAAAAATCCAACCTGGTCAAATTATATTCCTCCGAATTCTTGAAATGGTTTACCGGTACGTAACCAACGAAAAGCTTTATGATTATTTGTCCATTAAAGTGGAAGATAAAGTGATTTAGGAATTTGCCCAAAAAGTGTAAGAAATTTTCTCGTTTCAACTAGCGTGAAAGCTGTCCATCTTCTAGACAACACCTAGCAAGTCAAAAGAGTAGAAAGTACCAGACAATACAAACTTATTGTTTCCGTATTTATTACATTATCTAACAAAATAATGGTTTTTTCTCTGAATACCTTACTAACAACTAATTTATTATTTAAAACATAATATGTTCATCTTTATTATAAGATGCGACAGGTTCTTTTTTAATACGGTAGTAATTCTAAATTGATAAGTTCCTTTGACGTTTGTAAAGACGGTGTATTATTTTAATTTAATAGATTTAATTATCTAAATCAATCGGTTACTATTTAAAACGATATCTTCTTGACTGATTATATTAATTTTATAATTAATGATGCTTTCACAAAACCTTCCTTATTAAATAACCTACAGAAGCTGCTGACATCTACAATAATTAAAGAGATACGTACCTGGTATTTTCTTTAATAAGTACAAATTGAGTAATTAGCAAAATCAGGCAAGTTAATCTACTACTTAAACCATGCTAATTAATGAATGCAATAACTCCTACGAGGATTATTTAGTAACTACGTCAACTAAAACAGAAAGTTTAGTTGTACAAAATACTTTTTAATAAAAATATTACAATATGTTAAAACATGGAAAAAACAGCTAAATCTTTTTTTATTAATGATTTCGGTTTATAACTTTATCGGTACACTTATATACTACTTGACTGTCTGCAAAGTTCAGCGTATATACCGACTCAACGAAGACTGTAGTCAGTCATTTTAGATAGTTTTGAGAAGTTACAAGTTTTTCTTCTTCTTCAAGTGCCGTCTTCGTTTAAAAGTTTGGCTATCATCAAAGCTATGCGTATTTTTGATGCTGCAGATCTAAACAGTTGGTAATTGGTGCAATTGTACCATTCTCTCAAGTTTTTCAACCATGAATGCCTTCTTCTTCCTATAGATCTCTTTCCCATTATCTTTCCCTGTATAATCAATTGCAGCAACTAGTATTTATCTCCCCTCATAACATGTCCCAAATATTGTAATTTGAGCTTTTTAACAGTAAGTATCAGCTCTTTCTCTTTCCGCACTCTCCGCAAAACCTCCACATTTGTTACTTTCTCTGTCCAGGTTATTCTTAATATTCTACGATACATCCACAACTCCAATGCTTCTATCTTTTTGGTATCGATCTTTTTCAATGTCCATGTTTCCATCCTGTAGAGGAGAACTGACATAACGTAACATCTCAAAAGGCGAATTTTAAGTTTTAGACTTAGATCTCCTCCGCAGAACACCTTTTTCAATTTAGTAAATGTGGCTCTAGCTTTCTCTATTTTGGTTCTGATTTCTTCAGAGCAATCATTACTTTCGTTGATAACAGTTCCCAGGTAATTATATCTTCTTACACGTTCGATTCTTTGATCATGCACGGTTATGTCAGGGAAGTTTTGTGGTGATTTGGATATTAGCATTATTTTTGTTTTGCTTATGTTAAGTGATAATCCGTGTTCTTCACTGCATTCTACTATTTTGTTAATTAGTATTTGAAGATCTTCCCAAGTTTCTGCGATTAGTACCGTGTCATCGGCATATCCCAAGTTTTATTCGGATGCCATTTATCTTAATACCTATATTTTGATCCGAAAGTGCTGTGTTTATAATGTCTTCGGAGTATAGATTGAATAAGAACGGTGAGAGTATACAACCCTGTCTTACGCCTTTCTTGATCTCGATTTCCTCCGTTGTCTCTTGCTCTATTCGGATATTTGCTTTCTGGTTATAGTAAATCTTAGAGATAATTCTAATGTCCCTTTTATCCAAGTTTTTTTCTACTAGCAGTTTCATTAAGTGATCGTGACGAACTTTATCAAACGCTTTGTTGTAATCAATAAAGCATATATATATATATATATATATATATATATATATATATATATATATATATATATATCTTGGTTTATATCTAGACATCTTTGGCATATGACGTTAAGTGCAAATAGTGCTTCTCTTGTTCCAAGCCCGTTACGAAATCCGAATTGAGTATTACTAATATCTGCATCTAGTTTTCTGTTAATTCTTGAGTGGATTACTTTGATGAATACTTTTAATGTATGCCCCATTAAGCTTATAGTGCGGTAGTCAGTGCACTGTTTTGCATTTGCCTTTTTTGGTAAGGTTACAAAAGTTGAAAGTAGCCATTCCTTTGGTATTTCTCCTCTTTTGTAGATGCAGTTAAAAAGGTCGAGTAGAATATTCACTGATTCGCCTTCCACAAGCTTAAGAAGTTCTGATGTGAGCCCGTCTGGACCCGGTGATTTACCATTTTTCATTATTTTTATAGCGTATAATAGTTCTTCTTTAGTTATTTCTGGTCCTTCGTCGCCTTGCAAGTTATCTATATTAGGTTCTTGTCTTTCATCGTCGAACAATTCTTCTACATAGTTCTTCCAGGTCCTAAGCTTTTCTTGTAGATCGGTATTATTTCACCATTTGCGTTGTATAGGAGATTGGGATGTTTTCGTTTTTGTGTACCTGTCAGTTCCTTTATCTTTTTATGTAAGTTAAAAGTGTCATGTTTGAGATGTAGTTCTTCGATTTCCTCGCATTTTCTTGTATAAAAATTTTCCTTTGCAGTTCTTATTTCTTTTCTGATTTGTTTGTTTACTTCATTATATTTTTGGCTGCATTTTCCCTTTAACTGTCTTCGCTCTTCCATGAGACCTAAAATTTTTTCTGTTATCCATTCTCGTCCTTTTTTCTGTTTCTCTTTGGTAAGCATTTTCTGGGCAGGTTTTATTATGGCGTCTTTTAAATTTTGCCACTTGTCTTCTCTTTTTTAGGTTTTTAAAATATCTAAAAATAAACTGTTGAAAACAAAACTTTTGTAGGTATGTTTGTTTTAAATGCTATTTTCAAAATTTACCAACAAAAAATTATATCTTTCCTTAATAAATTCTGTTTTTTATATGAGTTACTACATGTTTAAAAAATCTTAAATAACAGATTAATGTGGTTTCTTGAAAAAAACCAATTATTAAGCCATATCCAAAGCGGTTTCAGAAAAGGCAGATCAACTCATGATGCCTTAGTAGATATTGACAATATTATATGTGAGTCCTTTAGAAATAACCAGAAAGTAATTGCCATATTTTTTGATATAAATAAAGCATTTGATACTGCATGGGGATACAACATTTTACAAACCATGTCCAATTGGGGTATCCAGGTAAATTTTCTTGCCTTTGTAAAACATTTCATGAATAATAGGATATTTCAAGTACGTGTAAATGGAATTACCTCAAAAACAGAATGTCTTGAAAACGGTATTCCACAGGGCTCAACCTTAAGCCCCACTTTATTCTTAATAGCAATTAATAATATCGCTCAAGAGATAAAGCTACCTATTAAAGCAGGTCTGTATGCAGATGACTTAGTTGTATATACTAGTAGCTGCAATATTACACTAGCCTCAAACATTTTGCAATCATTTCTGCATAAACTAGAAGACTGGTCCCAAAAGACTGGTTTTACGTTCTCAGGTGATAAATCTCGTTTCATCGTATTCAATAAAAGAAAAACTGATTGCAAAACAACACTTACTCTAAATGGTATCAACCTAGAACAAGTAGAGAGCATTGACTTTCTTGGCCTAAGACTGGACAGTCAGTTAACATGGGCAGAACATATTAAAAAGCTAGTCGTATCCTGCCAATCTAAAATAAATCTCCTTAAAATGCTATCAAACCGATCTTGGGGAGCGGACACCATAAAATTGCTGCATATATACCAATCATTAATCCGAAGTAAACTGGATTATGGTGCAATATGCTATACAACTGCGAGTAATTATATACTTAAAAAACTAGACATTATACAAAACACATGTTTAAGACTAATTCTGGGTGCTTACCGAACTAGTCCTGTTTCAAGTTTTCAGGTTATCCTAAATGAATCTCCCCTATCATTTCTTTAAATTATGCCGCGAGATTGTCTTCCAACCCTAATAACACAAACTATTCACTTCTTTATAAAATATATCCACCTACTCATTGCCATCAACAAATTAAATATCCACCCCTTAAAGAACGTCTAACGAGATACGGTTTTGACATGGAGCAGCTCACACATTCTTACCCTACACAACGAACTATACCTCCCTGGACTATTAATTTTCCCACTATTGATCTATCCCTCACGGCCTATCCAAAGTGTACCACAAATCCCATAATCATTAACAAATTATATCAAGAACGGATATTAGAATACACTGGCCATAACAAGATTTTTACCGATACGTCAAGAACTGAAAACGGACACGCAGCGGCCTTTATTCTAGGAAAGTCTGAATATGCAGTTCGCATCCCTCAATTCTGCAGCATTTTCACGGAAGAAGCAATCGCCATTTTAAAGGCTTTAGACATGTGTAAGAGTCATACAAGCTCAGATTTTCTTATCATTACTGACTCTTTATCTGTTCTTCAGAGCTTAAGGCAAATATATCCAGTACATGCTATCCTGCAACAAATACAATTAGCACTTTATCACCTACAAAACAGACAAGTGAACGTTACATTTCTCTGGGTACCATCACATACAGATATCGCAGGAAATGAAAAAGTAGATGAATTAGCAAAGAAAGCTGCTACTGACGAGCAAACTGAAATTATGACTACAATTCCATTCAGTGATATCCAGCTCAATATTAAACAGCACTGTGTAAAAAATTAGCAACAAATGTGGAATTCTACTAAGGCTAACCTTAAAAACGTGAAAACTAGGATTGGCACTAAACTACAATTTCCAGAAAACAGAAGGCAACAAGTGATTATAAACCGACTAAGAATTGGACACACAGCGTTAACTCACCAGCATCTCATAACAAAAAAACTACCACCTGAATGTTCCTATTGTGAATGTCCAATAACTGTTCAACATGTATTGATTGAATGTCCTCTTTATTCCTACGAAAGAGCCATCACCAACGTACCAGAAGAAGCAAAGAAACTTAAAGATATTTTAAACAGTAATGTATCTAATACAATCAAATTCCTTAAGGACATACGTTTACTACACAAAATTTAAGTTATATTATATGTATCTCTTTGTAATTTGTAATTTATTATGTGCAATTTAATACGCAATTTGTAATTAGTAAATTTGTATTTGTAATAACAACTGTAAAATCTCTAAAACCCGCTAATAACCTTTAATGGTTGATGCGAAAATTCTAAATAAAAAAAAAACTACATGTTTCGTCGACACAATTTAGGGAAAAAATTACATAATATGATCATTTTGAAAGAAATATTTTAATATGAACTTTATAATTATATCTTAAATTTCACAAAATAGGTTACATTTATTTCCACTTAAAGTCATCTTCTTCAGATTAGGTGCTAGTAGAAGTTTTAGAGTCTTGATGTATATCATTTTTTGTTCAATTTTTTGTTCAACTGTATAAAAAGGTTTTAACTAATGTATATCTGTTTTTAGCTTCGAAACCGGAAACGGTATTAGCGCGCAAGAACAAGGCCAGATCAAAAACATCGCCAATGAAGAAGCAGGTCCAGAGGTTCAAGGCCAAGTCCAGTACACCGGTGATGACGGTGTTCCCGTCTCCCTTACCTACATTGCAAATGAAAATGGATTCCAACCACAAGGTAGCCATTTGCCAACACCTCCCCCAATCCCCGAAGCCATTCTAAAGGCGTTAGAATACAATGCCGCACATCCAGAAGAAGATGACGAGGCACAAAACCGTGTCCAACGAAGACAAGCTGCTGCTACCGCTCAGCAAGTCCAAAAGAATGCCAATAGATTTAGATACTGAGGATGATCTCTGAATGTTTGTGACATTATATTAAATTTGTATATATTTTAATAAATTAAAAAACTCAAAATCTGGCTTTTGAAGTATTTTGAAATTAGATGAAAGACTGAGTATTACCTATAAAACTAAATGAACTAAAAATATTTAAAAATCACGTAAATATTACATTTTGAATTATAAAAGAAAGGATATGTGTGATTCATTATTTTTTTAAGATTGTGCACTGGTGGACAAATGTAGATGTAGATGTAATGTTCGGTCTTTGTTAGATTTTATTTTAAAAGACAAATTATTATTTCAGTAGTAATATTTTATAGAATTCATATTTAGTTTTTAAATTATGGATAACGTTAAATTTGAGATATTACTGACGCAGCCCTTTTAGTCCACAACTTGACAACTCCCCTTTATTTTCTTTGGTATTTAGCCTTCTCTCGTCATTTTTAATCGGCCTTCTGTTTTAATTTCGATTCCATCTCATTAAGCCATGTTTTTCTAGGACGTCCTACTTCTCTTTTACTTTTAAACTCTGTTAGCATCAATTTCTTGGGTAATCTTTCTTCACTCATTTTTTCTAAACGTCTCAGTTATCTTGGTTTCATTGCTTTGGCAGCTTAGAATATTGTAAAATCTCGGTAAATCTCTTTTAGTAGAGGTTCTTTTTCCTTCTAGAATTTTTATTAAAAATTTTCTTTTTCACATGTGATTTGTTTGTTCTTCTGCTTGGTTTAAAATCCAAGTCTCACTTGTGTTTGTCTCAGTACTATCTCTTAGTTAGTTATTTTTGTTTTTCTAATGACATTCTTTAATATTTATTTGTAATCTTGTCGCTGTCGTTATACAAAAGAAGATAAATAAGCAGAAGAAAATTGGCTGAATAAGAAATTTTGTAAAATTGAAAGACTACAGGATAACACATTTTCTTTAATATATATATATATATATATATATATATATATATATATATATATATATATATATATATATATATATATATAAGGATCACTCAGACGAGTGGTGGGTTCTTATATCGGTCTCTAGGTGGAGAAATAAAAGACAAAGTTGATAGGCTACTTTATCTATTTTGAAGACGTTTCGCTTTCGAGTTTTGAAAGCATCATCAGTTCATCTAAAAAATTATTACAATATGAGAACCACACAATCATGGAAACGATGTTAATTGTTACCTTAAAAAGATATGTAGCAGTCAATGTTATTAACAAATATGTGAATGAAACTAAGTAAATGGACATAGTACGCTGATCTTGTATAAACAGTTAAGCAACTAACAACATATATGAACTTGTAAAAAATTAGCACAGCATTTTGACCATGTGGTCCAAAATAAATTCAATGTTATTTAGTGTTAATAAGTGAGAAAGAACCAAGAAAATCATAAATAACTTCCAACTATTTAATGGATATTAAGCTTTGATTTTAACTTTAGGTAGCATTATAAGTAATATTAATACAATTCTAAAAAATAGTGAATATGAAGTTACCGATCAAAGCCCTATAGATGTCGCCGTGAAAATGGCGTTAAATGAAACAGGAACGAACTAAACCGCAAAAAGACAGCCAACCTTGAGGTCAAAATTACTTTTGACAGATCAACAAGGTGCAAATACCAACCCAAATTTTGGGCGGTTAATTTAATTTAAACTGAGTTTGGATGACTACCAGGTTGCAAAGGACACAACAGTGAAAAAAGTTGGTAGTGTAAACACAACTCCCCTCACTAACCGGCCCAAATTTGCAAACTGGAGATTTTAATACAAACCAATGTTTGTATTATTTTATATATAATTTGAAACACTAATTAAAGAAATTAGTGTATTGAAATGCAATATGGGTTGCATATGTAATAGTAAATTAAGTAAAGAAATTAAGTTATTTAATTGATATATTTATTTATTTTATTTCTATTTATGTATATAAATTGTTTAATGAAAAGTGGAAAAAAGTTCAACTAGTACACCTAATATGACATTAATGTGGTGAAAAGATTAAGTAGTCTAATTCTGCAAGATTAAAGCATGATATATCTGGCTCAAGTTATTTATGTCAGTTCTCTTATTCAATGCATTAGAATGTTTTAATATTGAACACATTTCCAAAAACTGTCTTTTAGCTAGATTGCGTTCAGTGGCAAGGATCTTAACTTCATTAAAATCCACTTCATGTTTTGTATTTATCGCATGTTGTGCTAGAGCACAAGTGTGTTTAGATAAATTAATGTCGCTACGATGTGAAGTGAGACGACCTTTCAATGATCTACCAGATTGCCCAATGTAACATAAATCGCAATTAGCGCATGGAATTTTATAAATTGTGTTCACTTGTTCCAAAGTGGACAAGGGTGTTTTAGTTTTAGAGAACAAATTTCTAACAGTTTTTGCATTCTTAACAGCAATTTTAACAGGTATATTATTTTGTTTATACAATTTAATAAGCTTCTCAGTAACTTGAGGGAAATATGGTAAGGAAGAGTAATGTGTGATAGTATTCTCAAGATCGGTATTATGCAGAACAGTGCTATTTATAGAATTATTAGAGATGTTTCTAAGTTGGTCACCATCGGGTATGTCATAAATTGAGGATCCATAACTATGCGAATAAAGGTATTTATTGATGATAGAGGAAGGATAAGAATTCTCTATTAGAATATTTCTCAATAACTTAAAGGATTCCCTTCGATTAATTGGATGTGTCAATTTATTTAATCTAAAGCTTAGAGCTTTTATAAGGTTTAGTTTATATTTCATAGGATGACAGGAATGGTAGTTAAGGAACCTATTAGAGGCCATTGATTTTCTATACCAACTTGTGGTTAGGGTGTTGTCTCCCATTCTGATGACACGCATGTCAAGGAAGGGTATACTATTAGTGGTAGTGTCCTCAAGTTCAACAGTGAACTGTAAATGAGGATCAAACTCATTAAAGTGGGATAGGGTACCCTGAACCTTGTCAGGTGGTAGGGCTAATAATAAATCATCCACATACCTTTTAATAAAAGGGATTTGAAAATCCAAAAGACCCAAACGGTCAGAAATCAAATCATCCAATACAAAGTTAACTAGGATGGGAGAGATTGAGGAACCCATAGGTGTACCAAATGTTTGAAGGTAAAATTTGTCATCAAAGACTAAAAAATTAGTGTCAAACACAAGTTGCAACAGTTCTGCAAATATATCCCAAGACACCGGGCAGTTAGGTTTGATAGAATTCCAATGGTTTTTTAAGGAAGTAATTACACTGGACAGAGGTAAGTTAGTGAAAAGAGATACCACATCAAAACTTACTAAAATGTAACCTTGAGGTAGTTGAAAATTGTTAATAAATTCACTAAAGTTGAAAGAATCAACAATGTTGAAATCATTGTTGTAATTATATGATTTAGACAAAATGTCTGTTAGAAATTTAGCTATTTTTATATTAGGTGAGTTAATAGATGACACAATAGGTCTCATGCTCAACGTAGGTTTATGTATTTTTGGTAAACAATAGAATCTTGGAGCATATCCATCATAATTATGTAAAGACTTAGCTAAAGGTTGATCTATGATCTTAATGTTTTTTAAGTGTGTTATAAATTTATTTATTTTATTTGTGAATTTAGAACAAGGATTAGAAGAAAGTGGTTGATAGTATCTATCATCATCTAACAGTGATTTACTCAAACTGAAATATTGATCTTTGTCCATAAGGACAGTAGCATTACCTTTGTCACTCGTAAGAACGAGAAGATTAGGGTGGGTTTTTAAAAACGATACCGTCTCCCTGTAAATCTTATCTAACTCTGATAAGGGTTGCCTAGGGCGTTTAGTGAAATTCAACAAAATGTTGTTCGAAGAAGACCTAAGAGATAGAAGGTCTATCTCTTAGGTCTTCTTCGAACAACATTTTGTTGAATTTCACTAAACGCCCTAGGCAACCCTTATCAGAGTTAGATAAGATTTACAGGGAGACGGTATCGTTTTTAAAAACCCACCCTAATCTTCTCGTTCTTACGAGTGACAAAGGTAATGCTACTGTCCTTATGGACAAAGATCAATATTTCAGTTTGAGTAAATCACTGTTAGATAATGATAGATACTATCAACCACTTTCTTCTAATCCTTGTTCTAAATTCACAAATAAAATAAATAAATTTATAACACACTTAAAAAACATTAAGATCATAGATCAACCTTTAGCTAAGTCTTTACATAATTATGATGGATATGCTCCAAGATTCTATTGTTTACCAAAAATACATAAACCTACGTTGAGCATGAGACCTATTGTGTCATCTATTAACTCACCTAATATAAAAATAGCTAAATTTCTAACAGACATTTTGTCTAAATCATATAATTACAACAATGATTTCAACATTGTTGATTCTTTCAACTTTAGTGAATTTATTAACAATTTTCAACTACCTCAAGGTTACATTTTAGTAAGTTTTGATGTGGTATCTCTTTTCACTAACTTACCTCTGTCCAGTGTAATTACTTCCTTAAAAAACCATTGGAATTCTATCAAACCTAACTGCCCGGTGTCTTGGGATATATTTGCAGAACTGTTGCAACTTGTGTTTGACACTAATTTTTTAGTCTTTGATGACAAATTTTACCTTCAAACATTTGGTACACCTATGGGTTCCTCAATCTCTCCCATCCTAGTTAACTTTGTATTGGATGATTTGATTTCTGACCGTTTGGGTCTTTTGGATTTTCAAATCCCTTTTATTAAAAGGTATGTGGATGATTTATTATTAGCCCTACCACCTGACAAGGTTCAGGGTACCCTATCCCACTTTAATGAGTTTGATCCTCATTTACAGTTCACTGTTGAACTTGAGGACACTACCACTAATAGTATACCCTTCCTTGACATGCGTGTCATCAGAATGGGAGACAACACCCTAACCACAAGTTGGTATAGAAAATCAATGGCCTCTAATAGGTTCCTTAACTACCATTCCTGTCATCCTATGAAATATAAACTAAACCTTATAAAAGCTCTAAGCTTTAGATTAAATAAATTGACACATCCAATTAATCGAAGGGAATCCTTTAAGTTATTGAGA